GGGCACGTGGCATCCGGCTGCCAACAGGACGGGATGTGTGCTCGCGCCTCAGGTGGAGGTGACATGCACCTATCACACCAGCCTCCTTCCCACAGGCTCCGGGACGCATGCACGGCTTCACAGCAGACAGGAGGGTGTTTGGGGAGGAGAGGACATGGGGAACCGGCACCCAGAACGCATGCTAATGTCAAGGTGTCAGGAGGTGCCACCTGAGAACACCGCGGGCTGCTTAGCCGAGGGGAGGGCCGTCATCTGCACACGTTCTTGCTCCTCGTTAAAGCACGGTGCGTTCTGCTGCCACAGGAGCGCTCCTGGTGCACACCAAGCCCTGGACACCTCCCCTTCATCCCACCAGGCCCGAGACCCCCCTCCCTGGGGCCCAGCACACACCATGCTAGTCCTGTGACAGATAGAATTTGTACGAGCGACCCTACCAAGCTTCCCAGAAGCCACTGAGCCATCAGCTGACACGCCCGTGGCCTGCCTGTGTGGCTGCCCAGACTTTGCCAGGAGGCCAGTGCCCCGGATCAGAGCCCATGAAAGCTAGTAGGGGTGACACTGAGTTCCCACAAGTATCCCAGGCACTACGGAGGGTCCCGGCTAAAAAAGGTGCGCCGCAGCCTATGCCCTGCAGCTACCTCCTGCTAACCACCTCTGCTGGGGGCAGGGGGTATGGGCGTGATGACCTTCCCACTAGTCTGCCTCCTCTGTGTCCAGTGACATCATTACAGACCCCACTTCCTCAGACAGGGGTCCTGAGAGCAGGAGCCACGGCCGGCTCCAATCCCCAGTTCCTGCCGCAGAGCCGGGCGCTTCCAGGAGTCCAGTCTTTTGGCAGTGAGTTAATGCCAGGTGGGAGGTGCTAGCCACAGCGCCCCCCTCTATCCGCCCTGTCCCTTAACTGGATGGTTTCTACTTTGAAGACTTCTTTTGAAATGTTGAGAACTTGGAGAAAGAAATCTGAAGTTTAACTGAGGTAGACGCTTATTTGCAAGCCAGCCCACGGTGGAATAAAGGCCCCTCACAGAGTTGTGTGTGTGCGTGTGTGTGCGTCTGCGGCGCCTGTGTGGGCACAATAGCTTTCACAACAGCCCGCTTGAGCGAGCTGCACGGTTCCTTCCAGAGACACGTGGAAGCTGAAACAGACCCGTGAGCCGCGCCTGCCTCCCGCGTGTCTATCAATAGGGGACAAAGGCACATTTTCTATGAGCTAATTGAAGAACCGCGGAGGGCTTTCTTGTCTCTGTGATTAAGGGAAATGAGAATGCTGCTAATTAGCAGCTGGAAAATGCCAGAATAGTGTGTAAACGTCCCTCAGAAGCGCCTCTCTGAAGAAGCTGCCGGGGCCTCCCAGGGACGATCGACAGTGCAC